TCCCTTTTCCTTTCTCTCTTTCTCTCTCTCTCCCTTACATCAGGAACAACGTGATTGAAAAACATGACAAAACAAATAACAAACACATCGTAATATATAACATGAAGACACGAACGTTATATGAATGATTAATATATCGAGCGATACGAACAACATAAAACTGAAAACTCGATTCCGAGCAGATCGACCATCACTTAATAAACGATATTATTTCATTCGTCTACTGTGAATGAGCGTGTGAATTTGCTGATCGAATGAATGGGGAATTTATACTTGAGGTATGAAGTATTTTTGAAAAATTTCAATGCAGTCTTGGCGCTCCGACATCTTTGTGCAATAAAACTTTGGTGAGAAATTAACGGACGATATTCGATTGATGACACATGGGACAATGATTAGAAAATGATAAAAGAATCCCCTTGACAGTGGACTGCCATCGTAGGTACTCGAAAATGTTCATGCGTGTGTACATGTATATCTTGTGTACGTGTATACGTGTATTCGTACTTAATGTATTCATCATACTTAATAGTGTAAGTCATATATATAACACATGACTTATACATATATATATATATATATTCATATATATATGTATGTATGTATGTATATATGTATGTATGTATGTATGCATCTGCGCGCAAGGTCCTTAAAACGTCGATAAAAGACACTATAACATTATATATGTACATTAACATGCGTATAGAACTATTCCTGGGGGGACAAGAGGAAAGAAATAAACAAGTGAATAGAATAGAACTCGAGGATCCATCCGTTTCGAACAAGCGAGAACCATAACGTAATAAGTGATTTTAATAGAGAAGAGAGTAGTCTTGAAAGAGAGATTTTTAGGCTAATCGGAGCATAAGATAACTCTCGTGATAAACGCTGATGAACGAATGCAGGGTCTTTGGTTTCGAGACTCATCGCGTTCTCTTAAGGTAATGGCACTACAACTTGCACATAAGTTACTGGGAAGTAACCTGTGCGACCGTTCAGGCTACCTTCGTACCAGTTCTCGTCGATCTTCTTGGTCAAAGTGATCGTATCATTCTCCTGAAATACACACATAATTGTCATAATACATAAATTATACTTTAAAATAAGTCCTGTTTGTTGAACGAAAGGCGGATTTCTATTCTACAAAAAGTTTCCTTCGTTTTCTGTATGTTTCTTATAAAATTGAACAGGAGAAAACAACCATGTATGAAAAACTGTGTTATATTTACTTTAAAACTGAGTTCTCCAGGATTCTCTGCCTCAAAATCGTATAAAGCTGTGCAGCATGGTTGTCTTGTCATCGGAGTCCTAGCTGGTGATTTACTTGGAGATGGTAAGGGAGAAGCTGGAAAGCATCGAGAGTCTTAGAATTGTGTCAAATATGAATAAACAATGCGACAAAACATTAGGCTTACTATAACAATAGCCATACTTAACACTACAGTATCTAAACAGCAGCTTAAAAAATTTGAAGTTTATCTTCATAACAAAACATAATGAAAATTAAATATACATCTAGATATAATTATGAAGTACGCTGAATCACACTAATATTTAAACTCAATAACATCTAAAACTTGTATACGCACTAAAAAATAAATTTAAAAAAATAAATATATTCTCCTATTTGCAAAAAATGATCTGGACGTTTAAATCTTATTGTGAAACGTTACATCTTGTAAAATTAAAGAAAATAAAGTATTCTACGATAGTACATACAAAAAGGAATATACAATCATTATATAAGCATGCATGTTCGTATTAAATGGCTAAATTAGAATACATTGATAGAAGATACACAAGAGGCAAAACAGTAATTACTTTCTTGCCCTGTTTGCGGTGTACGAAAAGCGATAGAATTGAAATTGAAATTGAATAATTAATCAATCGATCGAAACCTACGGTAGGAGAAATCAACCCCATGCAAAATTTACCATTGGCAGATTGTGGCGGGTTTCCGGCTGGAAATAGCTCGAGCTGCGAGCGCTTCCCATCCGCATGAATTGGAGACCCGGCTCGACTTGCCCCTACATTGTGTCAGAAGGACAGACATTCAAGTATACGAGAGTATACACACAGAACAGTCGGATGTAACAGTGTAATATATGTGTTAGGAACGATTTTCATGAGTCAACATATACACAATTTACAAGCGTATAATCATCTCCCAGATTATTGGAAAATACAAAAAAGTTATATAGCTTGAACAAATAAAATGAAATGCATTTAAGGTAATGACTTGCCTCCAGTAGGCCTTGATTAATATATTCTAAAATAGAATAACCTTTTTTGTATTTGAAAAAAAGACGCAAACACTGAACCCAGAAATATTATGCAATATTAATCATCAAAGTCAATGTGAAATTTTAAGAAAACTTCTGCTATTAAATTTGTTAGTTCTATCGTGATTTCGACGAACTAATGACAAGATAAAATAGATCAATCTTCATAGATATATTCCTTTAGAATGCAAAAAATAACGAAAATTTAATTTGTCCATCTGACAGCCAGAGTAATAACGAAGGAAATTCAATCAGGAAAGAGTACGACAACATAGTATTAGTTGCAGGACACGTAGAATTGTTGCATGACAAAGGAAACAAGAAACAGAAACAGTCAATCCACCCACGAGAATTAATTATCTTTATGTGTATGTGTAAATGTGTTTTACCATGAAAAGAGAAGTTCCCACCGTTCATAGCATCCGATGTAGGTAATACATCGACGTGTAAATCGGCCAATGTCTTCGGCACGAATTCCATTTTTGGTCTGTTTGCCGCTTCGTCTTTCCTGTGATTGAAGATAAAGATGTATATATAATTGCAAAATCATGTAATTTATTGGGTAAAATTTATACACATTTTCTTGTACATACTTCTCCAAAAGTGTTTCCGTTAGTGTTCTTAGAATCTCAATACATTGCTGATGATACTCCAGAAGACCTTCACTGAACGTTGCTAACTGTGCCACTTGTTCTACCTAAAAATAAAGCAGAGGCATTAATAAAGTATTCTCACGTTATGTGTACGTGCAATTGAAAAGCTTTGCTTTTGTTATTTTTAGCTGGTCAATCTATGTAAATGTATGAAATTAGAATTTGATACCTTTTCGTATAAGGATTTGTTGAAGTGAAAAAAAAATGATACACAACCAATTAGTTTTTTACTCACATCATTCTCCAAAAGATTGAACATGCCCAATTGTGCCAGATGAAGACTCTCTGCAAATTTCTCCTCGGCCTGACGAATCTCGTCGTCTGAAACGTGAGAACCTGTTCGCAAAATTTGCGCCGGCGAAGATATTAAAAATTGTACTACTGGGTTGCTTCAATGCCTAAGTTCGATATATAATACAATATACACAATAAGGAAAGCTAAGAAAAACCTGGCGAAATTAAAAACCGTCTAAGAAATTTGGTCGTATACGTTCGTTCCTCCTCTAAACACAAGTGTTTTATAATAAAAATATTAAAATTTCATTGGAAAAATATAATAACGCATTCGACATTCGCAGTACTTTGGTGCACATATTTATACCTGTTGTGATTAATATTTTTGATATTATTATTTACTATTATTAATTACTACGATATAAGTCTACGTACATTTATTTTAAAGAAACATATACAATCTAAGCAATGTTTGTGAATTTAAAATGAAATAATTGAACTGTCGATAAGCTGTGATTTCTTCACTTTAGTTTCTATAAGAAGCAACAAAATTTAAAAAATTAAAAAAAACGAAATGAGGAGTTCAATAACTATTGCACACGGGGAGATCACGTACCAGTGTACGGCGAAGAAGAAGATTTGGCTGGACTTCCAAAATGAGGACTGGCTGATCTTTTTCCAGTTGCTAATTATCAAGAACGCAGACGAACAAATGAAAACAAAATATTTTTGCACTAAACTAAAACAGTTGACAATTGCAAATAAATATTGAACTTTACACGTATGAAGACCGTCCGTGATGAATGAAATCGTGATAAAAAAAATTCTAAATTTAATGTACAGGATATTTCATCATTACATTATACGTTCTTAAATTTGAATATCCAAATTTGAATTTTAATTCTAATTTTAATCTTAATTTGAAACGCTCTGATAGTTTGATGAAATATCCTTTCAAACGAATAAAAAGTCCTCATAATGATAACATTGACCATAATTTATCTAGAACAGCGTGCACATGCAGTATGAAACGAGACAGAAAATTGAAAATGAAGCTAAAAACACGAGTATCTTTTATTTCAATCTTCAGATTTCATCTTTAGACTTCAGTGCACACGATTTCAGCGGCTCGTAGAAAATACTCGTAGAAATGTTTCATGCGTACATCTCATGAGCTATCGTATGTATAATTGTAAACGGCACGCGTCGAGATTTCGTGCTGGTTACAAGGACGCAACATATAACGCTTCCAACGTGTTGTGCTTAAATAAATCAATAAACGTCGCGGAGAGAGATAAAGCGAACTTGCGGCCAAGTATACCTTTCGCTTGACGTCTTCGCTTGCAATCGAAGTCCAGCCTTCGTCCCTGAAGTTTTTTCCGGTGATGCTGCAAACAAAAAGGGATATCAATTCCCATTCACGAATACATACGCTCTCTCTCTCTCTCTCTCTCTCTCTCTCT